GCAATGACAGATTATCCAAAACCACTAGATTCCCAATGTTCTACAACACTGTTATACTTAACAAAAATAATAAAAGCACATATACTTCACATAAATAACAAAAGTAACAACACTAGTTCTCCCAGTGTTCATCAATTATATTGTTCTCTAGCTCCCTCACATTTTACTAACACTGCTTTGCTTCACTAACATGATGAAAGAAATAAAATATTATCCCAAAATACTTCATCTCCTCCATGTTCTATCAACATTAGTATACTTCACTGGCATAATGAAAATAACAACAGACTATCCTGAAACACTGGCTCACCCATCTTTTAGCAATGTTATTATACTTCACTATTACAGTGAAAGTAGTAATAATTATCCAAAAATTCTTTAACTCCATTATACAATTCCAATTAACTCTTTCTCAAGTTACTATAAGATTAAAAACAAAAATTACTAAAGCTTAAAAACTACTATCAACTTCATATCCATCAAATCATGTGAAGTCTGAACTCAACATTGAACTAGTCCTGACACATTAATTCTCTCAACACGAGCTCCTTTGATTTTACCAACCAGGTGACCTCTTTGTACTCGTTTAAAGTTTTGATACTACTAGAGTATGTATATCTTCACAAAATTTGGCAGTCTTTCAGTAAACATTATAAGCTATTCACATACAAAAAATCATATTTTTAGTGAATTATTTTTAATAAACTAAAAAAAGATTTGTCCTGGAATATATCGAGTTTTTTTTTAATAGTCTGCGTGCAAGATGACGTGAAGATTAAAAATACTTTTCTTCATTTCAAAAATCATTTGCGTAATCTCTAAGGCCTCCTAAATACATTTCAAATGTTTATTTTCAGTAAAACTTCATATTTTATCTGTTATTTTCTCAACCCTAACTATATAATTAATTCATCAGTTGGGTATCCTAGTAATATTTTTTGCCATAATCCCAATAACAGCTCATCAGTTTTGGCCAGCTTAGTAGATTAAGGATGGTCTTTAATCCATATAATTAGCTAACAATGCAAAATAATCTTCATAAGTAAAATGTGATTCAATAACAAAAAAATAAATGTATATAATAAACATTCTAGTCAATGTTGTTGAAGAAGTTGTACTTACTAAAACATACAAAAACTAGTTTTTTTATTTCATGCACTATCGCCATTTCCCTGTCTCCAAAAGTAAAGTTAAAAATGCCTTGTGTGTGGTGTTAAATACAAGAAAGTTTTAAAAATAATTTTATTTAATTTATTTACTTTTTAATTAGAATACATCAGCACAAACCTTTTCAACAATTCTTCCTGAAACACCCATTCCATTCAATATGGTAACCTGTCTCAAGAAAGAGAAAGAAACCATTGGCATGAGTTTGTAAACAAAGTGTAATTAAAAGTAAAAACAAAAGCTCAACAGAAAGGTAAATCTCCTCGACAATACTAAAATTATCATCCAAAAACATATTAATACTAAAAAAAATTATGAAATAACTGGCATAGTCCAACTGTAGTGCAAAAAGTAAAATTTATCATAGGAATAACAATATTTAACACTTACCTATACAAACTTCTTGTTATGAGGAAGAAATAAAAACATCACATGTTGTGGTGTTTGTAATCCACATTATCATGAATAGTAAGTACATGGTTTTTATTGCAAAGTAAAATATGAAATAAGTGAATAACCAAAAAAGCTAATAAAAGAAATATGTATCATAACTAATTGTTTTTTTATACAATGTATTAGATACTTTACTTACATTAACAATAGTGGGTAGTGCACCATGGTATAGAGCTTGGGTACAGTACGGCCACATGTAAGGGCATTCCGTCAAGTCGAGGTAACTTGGGCTAAGAGTGGCCTGAGGCCTGTAACTTCTAAGTGCCTGGTAAGCTCGTAACAAGTCCAATTTTCCCCATCCCTGTTCAAATATTGGAGTGTTGGGCAAGCGTCTTGCAGAAGCAGTAAGTGCTTGTTTCATGCTTGCTGGGTTAATAGCACTGCCCATGTGCAGCACTCCACTAGAAGAAGACAATTTCATTTAATGTAATACAGATGACTCACAAATCCACATTCTAATACAGGCCTAAGCAGAAGAGATAAAAGCTGAGAGTAAGGAAACTGGTGAAAGAGTGAGAGAGATTAAGATACCAAGAAGGTTCGCATCAATCTACCATAGTGGCAAACACTGAAATGAATTTGGCATGTTTATAATATTTAGGTGTGAAATTATATACAAGCTTTAATATTTATGGAAACTTAAAACTTTAAATACATCTACAGTATGAATGATGTATGTATATACAAGACTGATTAATCAGGAAAACCAATAAGGCTGTTTTAACATATATGTTTAAATTTCCATGTGCACCTATTCTTCAAGCCGTCTGTGATTAAATAAATTATAAATTTAATGCTGTTTCTTATGGCTTTTTATTTTCTAGCTTTTAGAGCATTTGGCAAAAGAAAAGTTAAGTACAGTAACCATGTTGGTAGAAAAGAAATCAAAAGCCCTAAAAGATCAATATAAAAGTAAAACTACAAAACTTCAAAGGATCATTACAAATGAAAAAACTGTAATAGGAAGTAACAGTATTACATAACAGTTTAACAGAGTTTATATTAATATAAAACCCGAAACTGGTATATATTAAACAGTTCTA